CAAAATAATATTTTAAATTTGTACTAAAATTCTGTTTTATTCAGGATTATGTTGGGGATCTTGCAGCCCAGATCTCTAATGATGAAGAGGAGGAATTTGTTATTGAATGTTTGGGAACTCTTGCAAATTTGACCATTCCAGACTTAGACTGGGAATTGGTTCTTAAAGAGTACAAGATGGTTCCATACCTCAAGGATAAACTAAAACCAGGTCTGTGCTAAGTATTTCACTTTTGCATGATCACTAAGTTATTTCTTTCTATTGTGGATAAGGCTGCTAGAGCAGCATTTTGTGACTACTGTATTATTATATACCAGGCAAAACCATTTCTTCTCATAACTCTCTTCCCAGAGAAGGGTAGATCTCTTATATTTATGTTCTCTTCTCTTTCTCCTAACTGTGTTTTCTTAGTTTCCCTTCCCTATCCTACTTTTCTTGTTGTTTGGGGGGTTTTTCTAAATTCAACTTTTTTTAAATTACCAAATACCATCCTCCTCTATGTATACATATATGTGCACACAAGCACAAAGTTCTTTAAGACATTCAAATGAGTCTTATTTTCTGTCTATGTTTTCCTTCAATTGTATTCTCAAAGACTTATTTGCACTTCTCTGCTGCCCTCAATCACCATGCACTGTCATCAGTGAACATGGAAATTTGGAGAAAGGACAAATTTATGAGTATGTCAGGAGTTGATAAGAATTGATTTAATAGCTTTCAGTCTTTTCTGTGCATTAAAGGTTTGATAATATAAATGAATTTGGATCAAGATATTTCAATGAAAAATTTCTATGGTTTGACTTTACTAGGTGCCGCAGAAGATGACCTTGTTTTAGAAGTGGTTATAATGATTGGCACTGTGTCCATGGATGACTCTTGTGCTGCATTGCTAGCCAAATCTGGAATAATCCCTGCACTCATCGAATTGCTAAATGGTAAATAATCTTAATTTATTTTCATGATAATGTCTAAACAGGTTATTAGTTTAAATTTTTTTTTTTTTTTTTTTTTTTTTGAGACAGAGTCTCACTTTGTTTCCCTGGCTAGAGTGAGTGCCGTGGCGTCAGCCTAGCTCACAGCAGCCTCAAACTTCTGGGCTCAAGCAATCCTACTGCCTCAGCTGCCTCCCAAGTAGCTGGGACTACAGACATGCGCCACCATGCCCAGCTAATTTTTTCTATATATTGTTAGCTGTCCAATTAATTTCTTTCTATTTTTGGTAGAGACAGGGTCTCGCTCTTGCCCAGGCTGGTCTCGAACTCCTGAGCTCAAACAATCTGCCCACCTCGGCCTCCCAGAGTGCTAGGATTACAGGCGTGAGCTACCGCGCCCGGCCATTAGTTTAAATTTTTAAATATAAGATGCACAGTCTGTAATCATAAAATAGTATTTATCTTGTTACATTATTTTATAGCTACTAAATTACATAGTTAAGAAAAATGAATTATTATAAATATACTGCTAACTGGGATTTGATAAAGTAATGCCAAAGAGATTTAGATTGCAAAGTAAGAATGTTACAATAAAGCAATTCAAGACTAGTTTTATAGATTGTGTTCTCCTCTCACCAGCCTTCAACGGCTAATGCAGTGGTCACTGCTTATCTACGAGGGATGTGTTCTAAGACCCCCAGTGGATGCCTGAAACTGCAGAGAGTACCGAACCCTACGTGTGGTTTTTCTATACATACCTATGATAAATTTTAATGTATAAATTAGGCACAGTAAGAGATTAATAACAATAACTAAAAATAGAACAATTATAACAATATGCTAGCATCACTTCTTTTGTGCTTTGGAGCCATTATTAAGTAAAATAAGAGTTACCTGAATACAAGCATTGTGATAATACAGTAGTTGATCTGATAACCTAGATGGCTACTAACTAATGGATAGTTAGCTATACAGCGTGGACATACTGGGCAAAGGAATGATTCATGTCACAGGTAGAGCAGAGTGGAATGGTGAGAGACTGCATCATGTTACTCCAAATGCCACACAGTTTAAAACTTAAAAATTGTTTATTTCTGGAATTTTCCATTTAATATTTTTGGACTGCGGTTGACTACAGATAACTGAAACCAAGGAGAGGGGAAACCACCACTAGCGGGGACTACTATATTCTATCATTTTTCTTCTTTCTGTTGGTTTGAGTTTGATCCCCTCTCTTGTGAAAATTCTGTTTTTTATTACTTGATTTCTAAGTACGAAAGTTCATTTGGAAGCTGGTTCTCAACATCATATTCCCTTCTACATCCAGAGGGTATTGTCCTCTGAACTTTCTGCACTGATGAAAATGTCGCATGTGTGCAGTGCCCAACACATGTGGTTGAACACTTGAAATATGGCTGTCAGGACTAAGAACCTCGATTTTTAATTTACTCTCATTTTAATTAGCTACAGTGGCTTATGTCTGCAATAGAACAGTCCAGGCCTAGCATCTTCCCCTTACATTTGTATTGTTCTTAAGGTGCCAGGGCTCATTTTTTTCCTCCATATTGCATACAAAATTTATCTGAACCCAACGTTATTTTATTAGGGCAAGTTCTCTAGGATCTGACACATTAAAAGTAGCTAACAGTATAAAAGTTAAAAATGCTGATATGAGATGGTTAATTAGACACTTTTATCTGAGTTTTCCTTGTCCTAGGTATAATATATATGCATTTTATATTAATTTTAATTGACTTTTGGAGTATTAACATACATAAAGAAAAATACATGGATTCTAAGTATATAGCTCAATGAATTTTCAAAGTGAGCACATGGAGTTATCATCACCCACATAAGAAAATAAAATATTACCAGCACTCTAGAAGTATCTCTTCTCCCCCCTCCCAGCTATTATCACCTCCTCCAAAGGTGGTTTTTATCTTTTCTCTTGTCACTAATAGATTAGTTTTGCTTGGTTTTGAACTTTATTATATATGATATGTTTGTGAGATTCATCTATGTTGTATACAGAAATTTGTTCATTTTCATTGCTGTATATAATAAGTCCATTATATCAATATATCACTTTTTTCTACTACTGATAGATAGTAGGTTTGGGTTTTTTTGGGAGGAGGACTATTATAAATAATGCTCCTATGAACATTTTTAAACCTTTCATTTGGTGAACATATGTACTCATTTGTATTAGAGACATACCTAGGAGTAGAATTGCTAGGTCACAGAGTTTGCTTGTGTTTGGCCGTAATACATGGTGCTTATCTGTTTTCCAACATAGTTGTGCCAGTTTTCAGGCCTCCCGGCAATGTAAGAAAGTTAACAGTTGTTCCTCATCACTACCAACTCTGGGCACTGCCTGTTCCTTTAACTGTAGCCTTCAAACTGGTATCTCACTGTGGTTTTAATTTGCATTTCCCATATGACTAATGAAGTTGAGCACCTGTTTATCTTTCTTGACCATTAAATATGGCCAATAAAATAATATGCCCATTTATCTTGTGCACATTTTTCTCTTTTGAGTTTTTCAAAAAATTTTGTCAGTTCTTTTCTGTAATACATTTTAATAAATAGGTCATCTAGAGATAATGCCTCTGCATTTGAAGTATTCCTTCTCAAAATTGTAGTATATTTATATATTTACCTTGGTACACCCTTCTCATAGCCAGAAGTTTTCAGATTAGAAATAATTTAGAAAGAGACTAGGTAGTTGGGAGGTGAAAGTGAAGACAATGTAGTTGACAGAGTGAGAATGAAGAATTCGTGGAAAGCTAGAGAAAGTTAAAGTGAAATGACCTGCTTCCTGGAATTGCTGCTCCACAGTGATTATATAATAACTGAGAAAGCTGAGATATCTGTAAAGAGAGCTGACAGCCAGCTCAGATTGTTTTACTATGTTTTGACGTTCTCTGACATGAGATTGTCACAGAGAAATGTATAACTTTTCGAGGTTAAGTGAGGGAATACTGTATACCAAGGCAGTAATTAATAGTGAGAATTTCAGCCCAATTAGTTGAGGAGAGTAGTACTTTGGCAAGTTAGTAAAGGAGATCATTTGGGTCAGATTGGACTTTAAGAGGCCCACAATTTATTCTACGCAACTAGTTGGATACTCTATTGATCTAGAAATCTGTTTCTAACATGTCATTGAACTATTGCCAAGAGTTGATAGCAAACTACACTATTAGTAAATCAAATTTCATAACCATTACCTAAAATTAGATTCCTATAAGTAATTATACTTTTGCCATTACATATTAATCCGTGGATATCAGCTATTCTGTTACTCTTTGTATGATATTAAACATTTACTAGTTAGCCTTTATGATTACATGACATTCTTCATTTACTATTATAATTGATTAGATTGATACTAAACTACTTTTTATTTTATGCCAATATGTAAAGTTTAATTTTGTGAACATTATTCAACAAAAGGAAATGCCTTTTTCTAATACTTTAATTTCTACCAAAAACTGAGAATTTAGAAGGTGCGACCTTTTTTAAGAATTGTTTTTCTCATGTGAAGTGAACATTGTAAAGACAAAATGATTTCACAAATTAGAATTGTTTGAAGAATTCTTAGGATGGACTAAAAAAAACAAGTGGGGTTAAGTGTTGCCGTTTCACATTAGGAATATAGAAATTAATTTAATCAATGGCTTCTTGTCTCCTTGTCACTTTTAGTTTTTCTCGTTCTCTGTTATTCTCCACAGTGTTTTTCAATTTGGTATATAAAAATAGAATTCTTTTATTTGGAGTTTTTGTTTCCTTTTCAGCTCAACAAGAAGATGATGAATTTGTATGTCAGATAATTTACGTCTTCTACCAGATGGTTTTCCATCAAGCCACAAGAGATGTCATAATCAAGGAGACACGTATCCTTTCAATATTTACAATAGATAATGACATTTCACATATTCAGAAAAGATGCATCTTTGGTATTTTTATTTTTTGCAAATGTTGAAATAATGTAGAAAACACCAACCTTTGAAATAAATTTAGAAGATGTGCTATAATATTTTTCATGGAAGCTGTTGATCCCAAATCAGTATATAGGTAGAATATAATGAGAACAATTTTATTAACTTGTCAGGTTGTGATTCTTAAGAAACTTAACAAAGATATTAGAACTTCCATCTTTACTAACATATCTTAAATATCAGAGGTTCCTAGGACTATCATTGGTCCTCTTCTAACCTTACCTTACTTACTCTATTTATAGTATATCTATTCTCATGACTTTGGCTACCAACTATATACTAAGTATTTAATATCTTCAAAACCTCTATCTTGAGCCCCAGGCACTTGTTGTTAACTACCACTTGGATGTCTTCTACCTACCTAACGGGGCAAAGCATGGGGTAGCCTAAAGAACATTAATAAAATCAAATAGCCCTAATTTTAAATTATGTTTTGCCACTTAGTAGCTGCAGCACCTTATTTAACCTCCTTAGCACACAATCTTTTATCTATAAAATGGCCATAATATTAATATTAAACTAAAAATACCTCCTACCTTGTAAGATTGTTGTAAGTACTAATGGATTTAAAGTGCCTATAATAGTTCCCAACATATATAAGTAACTGAATAAGTGGTAGTTTATCATTATTGCATCCAAAAGGGTACTCAATGTTGGCAACGTCCTCCCCTGAAAACCCAACAGTTCTGCCTTCTGTATTCATTGTGGATAATAACAGTATCATCTACACAGTGCCTTAATCTAAAAATGTTGGGGTCTGCTGTCTCTTTTACTATATATAATTAATCATTCATTTATTTTGCACACATTTATCAAGCTTTGGCCATCTAAACAGATACTGGGTTAAGTGCTGGATGTATAAGAAAGTCAGTCCTTGCCCTCAAGGAGTTTATAGTCTAATTAGATAGACAAGTAAATAAGAAATATAAATTATAATCCAGTGTGACCCAGTGTCATAAGGGCACACTAGACCCAAGAAAATATAAAACAAGCCTAGGGATGTCATAAAAGACTGGCAGCAGAGGTGATATTTAAGCTGCATCTTTGTTCCTTTGTTCTATAATTGAGGTGGTTTGTTCTATAAAAAAAAAAATCTGCTTTTGAACTCCAAAGGTAAAATCCTTCCTTACCATGTGAATAGTCTAAATTCTTTTGCTGCTTAGCATACATAGTTAGTTCTTCATAACCTGACCTTAACCTATTAGTTTTTCCAAAGTGATATGTCCCCACTTTAACCTCACAATACACAGTTTTCTCTTAGCATACCACATTTCTCATTATTCATCAGATGTGGGGCACCTTGTCAATATTTAACTGCCATTTTGTGTGCTCATCAACCTCATTTCTCCCCCATTTTTACCTGATAGTCTCCTACTCAAAAGTTTATATACCATCTTCTCAGTTAATTAAGCCTTTCTATTCTATGCCTCCCTTCTTCCTAGTAGGAGTAATTTCTTTATTTTCACCTCTAAAAAATATTTTAAGTTATCTATTCATATACCTGTGTCTCCCAAAAGATTTTGAGGTCCTCAAGCTCAAGGGCTGGCTTGTCTTACTCATCTTTATCTATTCACAAAACTTAACATGGTACCTGACATGTGGTAGATACTTGTTCGGTCAAATGAACACATGTATCCAACTGGTTAATGTCCTTTAAAAGTAATACCTTAGTAGACTTTTTTTTTTAATGATACTGCCATTGCTAAAAACATTATGAAACTCCTCTGGTGTTAACATTCAATGCCAATATCATATGCTTTAAGTATCACCTTTGAAGGAAAATTGCCTTGTTTTTGAGGACAAATTTAATTTCTGAAACCATATAAAGTCTCCAAGAGTCAAATCTGATGAATAACAAGTCTAATTTGAGAAATGTTCATTTTGATATAATGTATCAAAATGTAAATATTGTTTTGCCTTAACAGCTACATTAGAGAGAGCTTCTTTTATCATACAGTAGTAAATGTTTTTTTAACGGGGCTTATAAACTGGCTTTCCCAGGAAGATAAATTCCCAGTACATTTTTGAGATGTTAAATCGTTGGAATAAATTAACTTTTCCTCAGCTGTATTCCATGGAACATATTCCTTGAGTATTAACAATTGCTTAATGAAGAAAAGGTTCTGTGGTAGTAAATGAGTTTGGCAAACACTGAATTAAAGTTAAACAGGTTTTCTTCTTGCTACAGGGTCTTCTTGGAAACTTATTTATTTATTTATTTATTTTTTTGAGACAGGGACTCCCTTTGTGGCCTGGGCAGCTGGGACTACAGGTGTGCGCCACCACACCCGGCTAATTTTATTTATTTACTTATTTACCTATTTTTTTGTAGAGACCAGGTCTTGCTCCTTGCTCAGGCTGGTTCTTGGAACCTTTAATATGCTTTTTTGTGTTGAAGGTCTCTAAAAGGATATTTTTTATATATAATCTATTTTAAACTTACATAACTGTGGAAGCCACTATGGAAAACAGTAAAATGAAAGTGTGGTTTTCCTAGGTAACTTCATTGAAAGACAACCCCGTTTACTATTTATCTCATAGAGTTTTTTGTGAGGACTAAAGAAGAATGAAGTATTTAAAGTACCTAACAAGTGCCCAGCACATAGTGAGTGTTACTGCCTCTGTTCTGGTATGTCTCAGCACCTTATCAAACCCATAGTATTAAGAAAACTTCTTTTGATTTTTCTTCTCAGCATCACTTTCCTTGCATTTTCCTCCCCCTGAGTTCAATTTTTGTTTTATGTCATTGATTCTGGAGTCAGTGCTTTTTAGGTATTTGTTCTGAAGAATATAACATGTTGATACTGGTGTGAATGGGAGATAAAAGATCTGCTAAGTTAAAATGTTTACAAAAGCTTCATGTCTTAAGATTGAATAAAGATGGCTGTGAAGTGCTTTTGCCGGAAAACAAATTCAGAAATGTTTTGGGGTTCAAAAAACAGGATTTTTGTTGATGTCAATGACATTTAAACATATCATGTTGTAACTTGTTACATATTAAAAAATATTAAATATTTTATTTCACTATAATTATAAGCATTTTCCCTATGAATCCAATATATTTAAACATTTAAAATAAAGAATCTATTAGGCAAGAATTCATTCCTTTTCCCATTTTTTGTTAAACCAGAAAGTTTGATCAATATTATTTGATATAATTTTAAAAAGAATACTTGACATTTGAGATGGCTAGACTCAGATAAATATATGATTGATATTAAGATGTTTGAAATATTAAACTGACTTTCAGCATAAATCAATCACATAAGAATTGGGAATCTGAAATTGAAAACCAATGCTATTATAATCGAAAATATTTATATAATCCCAACAATTGCAGTATGGGAAAACAAAATACAATTGTCCCTCCCTATCCAGGGGTTCCACATCCACTTAGTCAACCAAGTACAGATTAAAATATTTGGAAATAAACTTTTAAAATATAAAAAATACAAATATAAAATATATAACTATAAAAACCATTTATATAGCACTTACTTTTTTTTAGGTGTTATAAGTAATCTAGAGATGACATAAAGTGTATGTGAGAATGGGCATAGGCTATATGCAAATATTATACCATTTTATATAAGGGAGTTGAGCATCTGTGGATTTTGGTATCCGCGGGGTGGGGTTGGAGGTCCTGGAACCAATCCCCCCACAGATACTGAGGGATAACTATAATCCAAATTTGTCTAGATCCTTTTAGATTCCCCTTGAGAATTTTTAAGATTTTCCTAAGAATTCTCATTTTATTCTCACAATTACCATGTGAAGTATATAGAATGAGTGTCATTTATTCGTGAAATAAAAATTTATTGAGTACCTGTTATGTTCTCAGACCTGGGGCTGCTATGGTAAACAAAATAGACAAAGTCCTTGCCATAATGAAACTCACATTCCAGTGGAGAAAAGAGGCAGTCAACACTATGATCTTTACATAATTTTTTTTAAAATGAATTTCAGAATGCACAAATATTTTATTCTATATATATCTTCTACATTTTCTTTCTTCAAAAAATAGTAGCACTAATGAGTAGAAGACCTGAGTTAAGTCTCGTCTGTGACACTTGCTAGTCATGAAATTGTCAATTAAATTTTTTGGCATTATAATCAGTGCTACAAAAAATGGTATTTACTTGTACATATGTGCTAGAGTTTCTTAGCAGAAACATGTGGCCTTTGTTTTTAAAGAATTTTTACTAAGAGTAATTGAAAGTATTGGAGATCACAACTTTCTCTTTTTTTCACTGCCTCTTTAGATTTGTTGAGGTTTCTTTATTGATTTAAATTTGCTTTATTCTCCCCCTTCTGTCTACTTATTTGCAATTTACACATTTTTTGGGGGAGGCAAACTTAAATTTCAGCATGCATTCTCACCAAATTCTACAGGGTTATATCTGTCTTTCTCCTAGTCTAATATCTGTACTTCTTCTGTCTTCCATGTTATTTGCTATCCAGTATAATAATTTCACCTCATTTTTACAACACTTTTGTAACATCCCAGAATTAATCATATTTTAATTATTGCTTTTTAAAAACAGTGCTTATTTAAAATTTACAATATGTTGACCAATAATTTCCTTATTTACTATATTTTCTTGAATTCCATTGCTCTATTCCTGAGTTGATTTTCTTTCATAATGAAATATATTCTTTTATACTTAGTGAATATTATCTATGAATAATAAAATCTGTCTTTATCTGAAAATAATTAGTTTATCCTTTTTAATAATAATTTAGCAGAATATAGAATTCTAGGTTAACAGCAATTTGAAGGTACTTTTCCACTGTCTTTTGGACTTCATTGCTGCCAATGAGAAGTCTGTAGTCAGTCTAATTATTGTAATCTGTCATAAAGTCAAATGACAATTTAATTTCTTTTTCTTATAAGTGACTTGGTTTTTTTGCCAGGAAAATCAAAGGAATATTCTTTTTCTTTAACATTAAGTTGTTTTACTAGAGTTTGACTTCATGTATCATCCTTCCAAATATACAAATGTACTCTTTCCATATATAGTTTTAAGTCTTTTTAATTTCAAGAAAATTTTCTTCAATTATAGTTTTTTGTATTGTTCTAATACTTTGGTATTTTTTGGAGGAGATTTCTGTTATGTCAGATCTTCTTTGCCTATCTTTAATATCTGTCATTATCTTTTCATCTGTTTTTTAATTTTATAAATTTTTTTCCTTTTGCCTTCTGTTTCTCTCAGGAGTTTATCTGTTACATTTATTCACTCTTGTGTTAAGTTTAGTTTTTATATATTTAAAATGATTTTTACTTTTATTTTTTGTTCTTACCTGAATTATTTTATTTCTGTTTTCTAGTCCTGATTTATGTTGTTTGTTTATATACTACTATTTTTTTTTAATTCTTTTATCTCTTTTGAAATATCAGGTTTCAGCTTTCTCTTATATGAAAATGTCTTAACATGTTTTCACCTTTTTTCTTATAATAACCACATATAGGATTTGACTGTGATTCTTTTCTGTTGCATTTTTATGTGAAACAAGTTTTCCTGAACTTTTAGGAGGGCAGAATAGATCAAGAAAGGTTTTATAGTTACACAGCTCTAGAGCTCCCTCTTCAGTTATTTTAATGATTTTCATGTTTTCAAAAATACAGTCTTACATGTTCTGAGATCTACTGAGTTGGGTTTTTTTTTTTTTTACCCATTTTTATCTAGATTTTTCTCTTATTTATATCCCCACTATCTTTGTTTTTTCAACAAATGAAATATTAAATGTTTCTGATTATCTTGTATTAATAATGTTACTTTAAAATTTGAAGTTAAATTTTAATTTAGCATTTAAATGTGGAATTTTCTAATATGATTGAATTGCCACAATATCAAATGCAGTTTGTATCTTTAACCATTTCTATTCAGAGGCTCCGGCATATCTCATAGACCTGATGCATGATAAAAATAATGAAATCCGGAAGGTCTGTGATAATACGTTAGATATTATAGCGGTAAGTATTCTTTCTACACAAAGTCTAATAGACTTCATTTTTGTGGGGAAAAAGACATTGAAAACCTATTTTGAACCATGCATTCAGTGCAAACACATTTATATTTTGTTAAGATTCAGAAAATAACAATCATACTAAATTTATCTTTTTAACCATTAATTCTTTTGGCTTTCAACTTTTAAGTATATAGACTCCTTACATGAAGAGGTTTTGTACGTATTCAAGAGTTTAAGTCTGATCTACATATCCTCTCAGAATCATTTGTTTTTCAAAGAAATTATTGTATTATAGGAGCAGGGAGTTTGAAGACAATTTTGTTCAAAACTCAAGCAATCACCTTTGCAGTTTGGCCATTAAATGTTTTAAATCAAATCTTGTGTCAGCTATTTTTTTAGTTATGTGATAATTTTTGTTATATGGTATACATAGATTGTTTTGTAAGTTGCTTTGGAATGATGGGATATACAAAAATCTTAATGTTATTCATGATTTTGGAGTTTTTTGAAGGTCACACATAACTAGAGAGATATGATCAGAGAGATGATCTAAGTCTTGGGTAGAAGCATGTTGACCCTGCCTGGATTTGAGCCTTGCCCAGGGCTGTTCCAGATACTAGATTATTTTGAGTATTTTTTAACTGTGGCATATATTGCTACACACAGCCAGCTTGCTTCCTCCTTTGAACTGGATTTGGCTCACTTTTTAAAAAGTTTATTGAATATAGCCATTCAATAGTTTTAAAAGTTTAACTTAAGCTTTTTAAAC